TAGATGTCAAAAGTCAGTTGAAATAGTCAATGAAACAAAAAGCTGGTTCTCTGAAGAAATACAACAAATAGACAAATCTCTAGCAGGACTTAATAAGAAAAAGCAGGAAAAAAACCTAAAAGAATCAAAAGAGAAGTTACTGTAGACATCTCAGAATTACATAGAATCATGAGACTACTATGAATGTCTTTATGCCAACAAATAAGAAAATATAGAAGAAGTGGGCAAATTTTTAGATGCATACAACCTTCCTAGCCTGGATTAGGGAGAAATAGAAAATCTAAACAGAACAATTACAAGCAAGGAAATTGAAACAGTAACCAAAGTCTCTGAAAAAACAAAAGCCCAAGATAAGATTTTATTTTTATTTTTAAAATTTTAAATATTTTTTTACATCATTTTTCATTTTTGCACAATGCATGCATTTTCATCTTAGTTATAGTCCCCATACAATTCCCACCCTCCCTTGTTTTGATCCTACTCCCCCTCCCCACCCCCCATAGTGTGTCTCTGGTTTATAATTGCTTGTAGAGGGATTTTGACTTTTACTTCATTATAATTAGTCTTTATCCTGGTCCCTTGTTTAGGTTTACCCAAAGGACACAGAAACATTAATTCAAAAGGGCACCTGCACCCCTATGTTTATAGCAGCACTATTTACAATAGCTAAGCTATGGAAACAACCCAAATACCCCAAAATAGATGACTGGATCAAGAAGATGTGGTATATATATACACAATGGAATATTACTCAGCAATTAAAGATAAACTCATGCAATTTGCAGCAACATGGATGGAGCTGGAAGGGATCATGCTCAGCAAAATAAGCCAGAAAGAAAAAGAAAAATAACAGATGATCTCACCTGTAGCAGGATTTAGAAGATCAGATGGTTTTATTAGTGAATTCTACCAAACCTTTAAAGAGGAACTAAAACCTTTCTTAAACTCTTCCAAAAAACTGAGAAAGGGGGAAATGCTCCTAAATACATTTTATGAGGCCAAAATAACTCTCACACCAAAACCAGACAAGAGCATCATGCAGAAAGAAAACTACAGACTAATATTCCCAATGAACACAGAAGAAAAGATCCTCAATAATGGTAGCAAATCAAATTCAACAATGTATTAGGAGGAGAATCATATATCATGACCAAGTAGGTTTTACTACCGTGATAAAAGGGTGGTTCAACATAGGCAAATCACTCAGTGCAATTCACTATATTAACAAAAAGACAAAAATATCATGATTGTATCAATGGATGCAGAGAAGGCATCTAACAAGATGGAACACCATTTATGATGAGAACTTTGAGTAAAATAGGAATAGAAAGGACATCTCAATATAATACAGGCCTATATAACAAACTCACAGCTACCATCAGACTCAATAGTGTAAAGCTAAAAGCTTTTCCTTTAAGATCAGGTACACAGTAAAGATATCCACTCTTACCAACTATTGCTGAATATAGTTTTGGAAGCCCTACCTAGAGCAATTAGGCAAGAGAAGGATATAAAAGGAATCCAAAGGAAGAAGTAAAATTATCAGTATTTGAAGATGACACGATCATATATATCCACAAAAAGGAGCCAAGAATATACCATGGAGAAAGGAATGTCTCTTTTCCACATGGTGCTGGAAAACTGGACAGTCACATGCAAAAAAATGAAACTAGATCACTCTCATACCATGCATACAATTTAACTCAAACTGGATTAAAGACTTGGATGTAAGACATGAAACCATAAAATATATGAAGAAAAAATAGACACTGCATGCTAAGACATTGGCATCAGTGTTGCTATGGGGATCTCAACTCCAACAAGGAAAGAAAAAGCAAAAATGAAGAAATGAGACGAAGGTAAAAGGTTTTTTTTTGTACAGAGAAAGTATCATTAAAACAAAAAGTCAACCTGATGAGTGGGAGAAAATATTTGTACATCATACATCTGGCAAGGGGCTAATATCCAAGATCTTGAACTCATACAACTCAACAAAAAGAAAGAACACAGTAAAAAAAGGTAGAAGAACTGCACAGATGCTTCTCTAAAGAAAACGTACAATTGGCCAAGAGACACATGAAAAAATGCTCAACATCAGGGAAATGCAAATCAAAATCAAATAAGATTCCACTGCACTCTTGTAAGAATGGCTGCCCGAGCCCGTGGACTCGTCAACGAGGTTCTCGAGGGGAGAGCAGCGACCTGAAGAACAGGGGTACACCACGGAGGGAGACACGCACACTCTTGGTTCAGCTATCGCAGGTCTCTTTTACTTTCGGTTTCGGCGGGGCTTTATAGCTGGGGACCGGAAGCGGAAGAAGCAGGCCAACAGTGCCTAGCCAATGATCAAACACATAACCTTATTTGGTGCGCCGGAGGCCGTCATGCGCACTGGGCCAAAAGAAGCACAGCTAATCCTGGAAGGGCACATGCCCTTATTTGGTGCGCCGGAGGTCGTCATGCGCACTGGGCCGAAAGGAGCACAGCCAATCACGGAAGGGGGAAGTATCCTGATGCCATGAGGTAAGGCGCCAACAAATGGCCCATAGTAAAAACAAGCAAGCAAGTTATTAAAACCGAGAAACAACAAATGTTGGTGATGATGTGGAGAAAAAGAAACCCTTGTATACTGATGGTGGGAATGTAGACTTGTCCAGCCCCTATGGAAACTTGCATGGAGTTTCCTCTAAATAATAAGAATAGATACACCATATGACTCAGGAGTTATATTCCTAGGCATATACTAAAACGAAACAAACACAAAATCACTAATTTGCAGGGATATATTCCTGTGCTTATTGAAGCACTATTTACAATAGCCAGATTATAAAAACAACTCAGATACTCATCAACAAAGCAGTGGATTAAGAAAATATGGTATATATACTACTCAATTATTTTAAAAAAAAAAAGATAAGCTCTTGGCATTTGTTATAATGTGGATGGAACTGGAGGTTCCCATGATGCTACGGGAAATAAGTCAGAAGGAGAAAGATAAATACCGCATGATTTTACTCACGGGTAGACTATACATATATAGAAAAACAAAGGAACTGACAAAATGAGACCAAAACAAACTGGAAATAGGACTGCAGAATTAAGGCTGCAGGAAGGGGAATTTTGGTTTGGTAAAAAAAGGGTTGGGAGCCAAGGGCCTATGGTAAAGGACTGTGGGTGCTTTGATTGTGGGTGTGTTGTGCTAACATACATCTGAGGTGAGAACTTGTTTCCTTAAATTACAGTGTTATGTAAGCCAGTGTTACCTCAATAAAAGAAAGTACTCACAGAGACAAATAAAAGAAAATCGGTGGAAGATTTCATAAAAACTGTGATGATTTTAAGGTAAAAAAGTAATGGCATACTGAGTAGAATGTGAACAAACTTTCACTTTTTTTTTTTTTTGAAGTGTAGTACGGCAAGAAAAACGATACACAATGAAAGGATGAAATGGTAACAAGGAGGCTTCTTATTGTAACTGAGGCTAAAAGGAACCTGCTTGAAAGTTCCAGATGGAAGTAATTAGATGATGGTACTTAGTCCTGCAGGGGTAATGGCTGAGCCCTCTGTGGGGTTGAGTGAGTAATACTGTATTTTGCCATTTGTAAAGTGAAAAGTGCACTGGCTTGATCTGTGTTCCCCATAACTGTCGATATCATTTTCTGCAGGATCTGACCCTCTCAAACTCCAGCCTTAGCTCCTGTTGGACTCCACTTGTTCCATCCACTCCGTGCACAGTTTAGCACGCTGAGCTCTTTTTGCCTCGAGCCCTGCATTTTCTGTCTCAAACTTCCATCTTTCCAGTCTTGGCTTAAATACCTGTAGGGAAAATAGTTTTCAGGCTTTTCTGCCCTCCCACTATTAGGATTGCCCTGCCTGATGGGGCACCTGCAGTTGTTACATTGTTGTGTTGTTTACTACTGTGGGCCATGGGAGGAGTATTGAGATAACCCCAAGAAGGGCAGGAGAGGGGCAGGAGAGGGGCAGGAGAGTGGCAGGAGGAGCCCAGAGTGAAGATTTGCTGGGGACCTGGAGGCCTGCTGGCCTCCTGGCCCCCGGCACCCCTGCCTGCCGTGTACCTGGTTGCTGAAAGACATGTAAAGCTCAATAAAAGCCTGAGAAAACCACCGAGGGCTCCAGGACTCTCCTTTACCCGTCTGCTCGGATCATAGAAAACCTGCTCTGTGACTGTCCTGCCCCTACAATACCACATCTTCATGAGACTTTCCTAGAACACACTACTGACATACCCTCCTCTCAGTTACTCTTTATTTTACTAGTCAGTTTTATTTCCTTCTTAGCACTCAATCCTTAACTCTCTTGCTTGTTTATTGGTGTGTGTGTTCTGTTCCACTCCCACAAAAATGTAAGTCCAAGGTATGGACTAATTCCAGGAGTGCATGTTGGCTAGGTATGAGTTGAGGTGTGAGGCCAGCTTTTGATCACCTTTTCTACCTGTCTTATGATTTTTCTTTCACTCTTTTAATATTTTTTGGTTCATAATCCTGACAATCATCACATCAACTTTTTTCCTCTTTTTTAAAGATTTTTTTATTTTTGTTTATATTTCACATTATTGTTCATTTTTGTACAATGTGTACTTCCTCCTCTCAGCTGTAGTCCCAGTAAAAGTTGCTACTGATAGAGCATATGTTCAGGAGTGTCTTTCTGTTTCTTGCTTTAGCTTGTTGTCTTTGTGGGGATGTCCTCTTGTTCACTGTTGTGGCTTCAATGCCTACCTAGCTCATTGCCTGGCACACAGTAGGTATTGAGAAATGTTAATTCAGTTGTCTGCCACAAATTGGCTGTGACTTTGACATGTTTTATTACTTCTTTCACGACCAGTTTATTGATCTGGGGAGAATGGGGGCATACTGGTACCTCACTACTGAGATGTTGAGAGGAGGTGTAAAGATAAGAATGTAGAATGCTCCATTTATCATAGATTCTAGAATGGAAATTTCATGAACAAAAAGTGGGGTTCTGTAAGTATCTGTCTCTCATGTACAAATAACCTTCATTTTTCTGTCCCTGAGGCAGTCAGCATTCAAGGAGTCTAGAGTTTGCTCCTGATGCATCTGTCAGCATTTACAAGCTCATTTTACTTTCAACTTTCAGCTAATGTGTCCTGGATGAGGCCAGAGGGTAAAGTAATTCAGTAATTGCCAGGTCTGAGTTGTCATTTTTATTTTTATTTTTATTTGAAAACTTTTCCAAACCAATTTGCTATTTTTACAAATTTCACAATTGGATCCATTTTAAAAGGGAAAGAATAGCATTATGTACCAGACTTCTTGCATGCTTGCCGGCTGTTCTTCTGAATCAGCTTTTATTGCTGTTTATTAGATGTCTTCCCTTCCAGCAAGTCTAACAATAAACTCTTGAATAGCAAAGGGAATGATAACTAATATTTCTACAAATCATTACTAATCAATATAGTATTTATTGAACAAACATCATGGGCCAGGCACTGTACTAGATGCATTTTTCTACATGTTCTAATTAATCCTCCAAATCAAACTCTGAGAAAGTTAGGTTAGTGCTATTTTCCCTGTATTATAAATCAGGAGGCTAAAAACAAAATGTCCATGTCATTTTCCTAGGTTATCACAACAATTAAGTTAAAACCAAGGAATAATCAATTTAAATTCTGCACTTGTGAAGAGCTCTTATAAACATATGTAAAATTTTCTTTGCCTGTTATATAATGAGAAAGTGGATGGATAGATTTTAATTAAACTCAAAAGATATATTTGGGTCAATCGAGATATAAATACAAGCTTTTTGACATGATTTACCTCAGTGGCATTCTGCTTTCAGTAATGCCAGATAATGTTATTTCTTATCAAAACTCTGCACGAGGACAACTAAAAGGGCTGGATAATATATTGAAAAACTCCAGGTTAAGGTTTTAGAAAATCACTTTTGCAGTCAGGACTTGAAGAGCAAAGATTTGAGAAAGAAGAGAATCTTATAGAGGCAATGACATTCATTGCTGCCTCTCTCCTTCAGGTGATTGTTGATTTCAAGAGCAGTGACTGAGAGCTTAAGAAACTGAATGTAGCATTCAAAATATTCATCAGTTTGAGGGGTGAAACTGGAAGTCAGAGTTTTCCAAGGAAGAAAGACCTTCATAAAATCTTAAGGATCCAGTTAGCATCCTAGGAATAATAGTGGATTGGAAATAGATTAGCTCTCACAGTAACTCAAATATAATTTTGTGGACTGTCTTACTCTGAGATTGGATCTGTGTGATCTGGGACACTATGGGAGGATAATATCATTGGAATCTCAGGTATTGTCTATATATTCATATATAATAATCAAAATTTCAGAAATAGAAGATTTTATCAAAATAACAATAAACAATAAGCAATAAAAACACATCAATCAACCTATAGGAGATCCAGATACTATAGTCAAAATGATTATTATTATGTTTATTAATGATTATTAATATGCTCAATGAATTGAAAGACAAAATATAGTATTTTGACAGAAACTTGGAAACTATGAAGTACCATTTTTTTTTTAAAGTATCAATTTTTTTAAAGATTTTTATAATTTATGCATACAAGAACTGGGGTGCAGGGCAGAGGTATGGGGGGTGAGAGGATTCACTGGAAACAGAGTGGGGAGCAGAACAGGCAGAATAACTGAAATACATTGCTGAGGTGAGCAGCAGGTGAGTCAGGAGAGGTCTACTGCGTCATGTGTGTCACCTCCCTGGCCGGAGATTGAACTCGTGCTGCAGTGGCTGTGGATAGCTTCATAGACTGCTTCTTAACCCCTTGCATCACCAGGGAGACCTGAAACCTGAAAACTATAAAAAAGAGAATCTAATAAAAATTTGGAACCAAAAATGCAATAATAGAAATGAAGAATTAAGTAGATAGTTCAAATAGCATCTTAGATTTAGCTGATGAATCATTGAACTACAGGGTAGAAAGAGAAAATATCCAGATGCAAGCATGAAGAAAGAAAATGATGGAAATACAGAAGAGCATGTAGGAGACAAATGAAACTGGGTGAAAGATCACATATGTGCACATGCTCACTCACACCCACACACATATGGTGTGTGGTCCAGAAAATGAATAGAGGATATTACAGAAGTATTATTTGAAGATAGAGTGGTAAGTTATTTTTCTAAATTGTTAAAAAAATATCAATTCATTTATTTAAGTAATTGAGTCACAAGTCCTAGGTAGGAAAATACAAAGAAGACCATACCTGCATTCATTCTACTAAAAGTGAGGCAAATCAAACTGGTCCAACCACTATGGAGAGCTGTGTGGAGATTTCTGGACCTACTAAACATAGAGCTTCCATATGATCCAGCAATTCCACTCCTAGGTATTTACCCAAAGGACACAGAAACATCAATTCCAAAGAACACCTGCACCCCTGTGTTTATAGCAGCACTGTTTACAATAGCTAAGCTTTGGAAACAGCCCAAATGCCCAAAAATAGATGACTGGATCAAGAAGATGTGGTCCATATATACCATGGAATATTACTCAGCATTCAAAAAAGATAAACACATGCAATTTGCAGCAACATGGATGGCGCTGGAAGGGATCATGCTCAGCGAAATAAGCCAAAAAGAAAAAGAAAAATACCGGATGGTCTCACTCATAGCAGGAATCTAGAAAACTTAAATAAGGGACCAGGAAAATGAATAACTATAAGAAAGTGAAAATCAAAATCAACAAAATACTATGAACCAGAGACACTTTTTTGGGGGTGGGGGCCGGGAGGGGAGGGATTGGGGTCAGAATGGGGCATGTGCAGTTGTATGGGGGAATATAAAAATAAAATTTATTATTTAAAAAAAAATAAAACTGAGGCAAATCAAGGCCAATGAGAAAAAATAAAAGCAGAGGAAAATTGTCTTCAAGGAATTAAAAATGGAAGTGAAAATTGACCCTTTAACAAGAACAGTGAAACTCACCCTACTTTCCTTACTAAATATAGCCATACTCTTGAAGATGAAGTTTTTTTATGTTCAAAAATTTTTGCCATATGTGCATGGATTTACTAACAAAATATAGCATTGTTTGAATACTTGTCAGGATTATTTAGTGTTTAACTCTGTAAATGATATCATAGTCCACCTTTATATGTGCAAATTGGAATACTACTCAGCTATCAAAAAGATGAAACCTTGCCATTTCAACAAAATAGAACTGGAGGCAGGGTTAACTCAAAGGGAGAAAGGCAAATACTGGATTATTTCACTCATATGTAGAATATGAAAAAACAAAGAATCAGAAAAACCAAACAAAGCCTTGAAATGTGACTGCAGACCAGAGGATAGCAGAATATGGGAGGGACAGGGACTCGGTGGACTATGGTGAAAGTTTATTGGTTCTTTGGTGGTGTCATAACATACATTTTAGAGGTATGAACCCATACCTCTAAAATATAGACAGTGCAATAAATCAATATTACCTCAATATGTGTAGTTAAAAAGAAGGAAATATTTATTATTTCCTTTTCAGTGCATTTTATCAGTTTTGCTTTTTACTTTGTTGGAAAACAAAATAGTAATTGCTGTCTTTACTGTGAAATTTTTCTATTCCCAGTTCTTAAATATGACAAAAAATAAAAATCAAATCATAGGTAGAGAGATAATTAAAAAAAATCAAACATATTTTGGAATATATTCCAAAATACAGTTAATTCTTGGATGTGTCTCCTTGGCATATGTGCAAGAGTTTCAGGATACACCTGTGAGTAGATTTATTTGAGCAAAAGGTATCTACATCCATATCACAATAATTTAAAAAGATGTATGCTTATCTTCAAGTTTATAAGATACCAAATTCCTTACCAAAATGAGTGGTAAAAGAATTTCTACTTCCCACAGTGGTATATGAAATTTCCCAATTTCTCTACTTCATAAGCAGTACATGGCATTGTCAAGTTTCCTTTTTTGCCATTAATGTACCTGAAATTGCATCTCATTATTGCTTTAATTTGCATTTTCTTAATTATGTTTACCATCTTTTATGGTGTTATTGACTATTCAGATAATCTCTTCTGAAATTTATCTCAATCTTTTTTCTATTTTTCTATTTATTTTATTCCTTATTAATTTGAAGTAGTCCTGTATACTATTCCTTTGCCAGTTATATGTGTTACAAATATCTTTTATTACTACCTTGTGTTTTTCATTTTAAATTATTTATGTTACATTTTTGTTGAGGTTTGAAATAGTCAAATATATCTATCTTTTTCCTATGGTTTATACTTTATATACACTATTTAATAATCCTTTCCTAACACAGTACCATAAATGTGCTATTCTATATTTTCTAAAGCTTTAAAATTTTGTCTTTTGCACTTAGGGCTTTAAACACACCAGCAACTGGCTTTAAACACCAGGTATAAAATAAGATTGTAATTCAATTTCTTTTATGGCATTGATAGCCTCCATTTACTAAACAGGGCATCCATCTGTCTGTCATCCTTCCAGCTATCAACTCTTTATATTTGTTTTTTAGATTCTGTGTATGTTATTGATCATTTTCTATGGCCTTTATCACATTATCTTAATTACTGTAGTTTTTACTATTTGAGAGATAAATCCTCCAACTTATACTTAAAAGTTATTTGAATTCTCTTAGCCTTATCTCTGCCAAGTGAATTGTCTGTTCTTGAAAAATACAGTGCTCTGTTTTTAAATTCTTTTTAAAAAAGAATTATTTATTTATGCATACAAGAACTGGAGTACAGGTCAGAGAGATAGCGGGGGCCGGGGGGAGACAGGGTGGAGACAGAACAGTTGGATTGCCTGAAACACACTGCTGAGGGGAGCAGTGGGTGAGTCAGGAGAGGTCTGCTGTGCCATGTGGGTAGCTCCCTGGCTGGGGATCGAACTTGTGCTGCATTGGCTGTGGATAGCTTCATAGTGCTGTGTCTCAAACCCCAGCACCACCAGGGAGGTTCTGCTTTTTAATTCTTGATAAAAAAACAGATTCCAAGAAACTTTGTGTTCTATTAAAGAAAAACACAATGTAGGTGCAGAAATAAGTGCCAGTAAACACAAACCCTTAAATTGGGATACCCTAGGAAGTGTTGGAGACTAAAACTGGAGACTCCATGCCCTGTCTGAAGGGGGCAGATTCTCTTTAACTTCTGCTGATTTTTCAATCTGGAAATAT